TTATTTCCTCAACGGTTGCAGTCGCCATGGTCAAAGAACGAGTGGGAAGATCTTGTGCTTCTTGAAAATCGTTCGATGGTGGAAAATGTATTATCTATTCGCATGTATACTGTATACATAATTCTAACATTGTCTCAAATGTCTTATTACATGAGTTTTGTTCCTTGCGAAATGCAAAGAAAGGGCCCGTGAATATGGTTAAAACCTATTTAATAACAAGAAATAAATGGAAAATGGAAGGTGGTGACACCACGGTATCTACGAAATTTATGTGAGGTTCCACATTTGGATTTTTCTTACTTTTCTTTTTATTTTTTAATGACTTACGTTCTTACCCTGTTGGCTTGTGCAACAGGGAGGGGGTATCTATGAGAGGGGAAGAGAGGTGATCAGAGGAGAGAGAAAGAGGGGGGATAGAGGAGAACGAGAGGCGATGATAGGAGGACACCATAGAGAGGGAGAGGCAGTTAGGGGAGCTGCATGCAATAGAGAAAAGAGTTAAGGAAAGGGAGAGGCGATTAGAAGAGAGAGAAACGGTAGTAAAGAAGAAAAAGAGGGGCTTGGAGAGGAGAAGAGATGGTGCAGCGCCTGAAAGAGGAGCCGAATATAAAAGAAAATATTGATCATGTGAGCTGGCAGGGAGGGAGGGTATACATTGATAGTGAGGAGATGAGTTGGCAGGGAGGGGTTCAGTTGATGGAAAGGGAGTGATCATTGTTAGGGAGGGTATGATTGGCAATGAAGGAGTAAGTGACAAGGAGAGAGTTACTTAATGGGGAGGGAGAGTGAGAGTTAGCAGGTAGGACGTGAGTTTGCAAGGAGAGAGTGACTTAATGGGGAGGGAGTGTGTGATTTATGAGGTAGGATGTGAGTTTGCATGGAGGACATGAGTTGGTTTGAAGAGAGAGTTGGCAGGGAGAGAAGGTGGCATGGAGGAAGTCGGTTGACATTGCGGGATTGGTTTGAGAGTGATGCGTAAGTTGGCAAGGGAGTGACTGACATTGAAGAGTGAGTGGTCAGAGATGGAATGACCTGCCAGGGTTAGAATGAATTGGCAGGAGGAAGAGAGTTGACAGTGAGGGCGTGAGTTGGCAGGGAGGGAGGGAATTGACTATGAGGGCGTGAGAAGGAGGGAGGGAGATGACAGTGAGGGCGTAAATTGGCAGGGAGGGAGGGAGTTGACAGTGAGGGGGTGAGTTGGCAGGGAAGAAGGGAGTTGCTAGTGAGGGCGTTGGCTGGCAGGGAGGGAGGGAGTTGACAATGACGGTGTGGGTTGGTAGAGAGGGAGGGAGTTGACAATGAGGGCGTGGGCTGGTAAGGAGGGAGGGAGTTTGCTATGAGGGCATGGGTTGGCAGAGAGGGAGGGAGCTGATAGTGAGGGTGTGGGTTGGCAGGGAGAGAGGGATTTGACAATGGGGGGCTGAGTTGGTAGATAAGAAGGAACTGACCGTGAGGGTGTGGGTTGGCAGGGAGGGAGGGAGTTGACAGTGAGGGCTGGCAGCGAGGGAGGGAGTTGGCAGTGAGGGCGTGAATTGGCAGGGAGGGAGGGAGTTGACAGTGAGGGCGTTAGTTGGCAGGGAGGAAGGGAGTTGGCAGCGAAGGCATGAATTTGCAGGGAGGGAAGGAGTTAACAGTGAGGGCGTGAGTTGGTAGGGTGGGAGGGAGTTGACAGTGAGGGCGTGTATTGGCGAAGGGGTGAGTTAGCAGGCAAGGCACACATTTAAAGGGAGGGTGTGAATTGGTAGGGGAGAAGTAAGCTAGCTGAGGAGGGGTGAACTGGATCAGGAGGTGGTGAGGTAGTCTGGGAGGAGGAACCTAGCAGGAGGATCTAGCTGGGGAGGGGTGGGGCTAACAGGGGAGGGGCGAGTGAGTAGAAGAGGGGAGGCGTGAGCTTGCAATGGAGCTATTAGGGTAAAGAGTAAGCTAATAGGGAGGAGTGTGCTGGCAGGGGAGGAATAAGATAGCAAGGAAGGTTGAGCAAGTAGGGGAGGGGTTGATTATTGTTGAGGGGGGGTGAGCTAGCAAGGGAGGAAGGTACGTGGAGGAGAATAATGAGGAATAAGGAAATTGGTTCTAGTTCATTGATTATTGGGGGGGGGGGGATGAGCTAGCAAGGGACAAATGTACATAAAGAAGAAGAGTGAGGAATCAGAAAATTGGTTTTTGTTCATTTGTCATTTTACACTTCATGCTCCATGCAGTTAATTCTACCTTTCTGTTTCTCTCGTTCATCTTCTCGCAACATTGTGGAATATGTTTCATCCACCCTTATTGTGTGTGTTTTTATCATGATTTTTCTGCAAGAGATGATGAAGGCTCTAAGGGCGTGTGTGATCTGTTTGAAAGTTCGAACAGAAAGTTCGAACTTTGGGTGGTTACCCGTTTGGCAAATCTCGGCGAAGCAAATTGGCAGAAAAAAGTATATTATGGGGCACGTAAAAGTCCGAGTTCGAAATCCGAATTTGACTCGAGTTGGAGTCGTGAACGTGCGTGCGAACGTTCATTCGAGCATGTGCGATTTGTAGCACGTACGAAACACAAGCGAATCGGGCGAACGCTTCGCGAGTGGCTGAAATGGCGCAACGAAGTTACTCCACGATTCGGTGCAATGAGTGGTAGCCACGTAGCCATATATGTGCTGGTAACGAACCGGGTAACCTTACTGTAGACGTGCGGCTCGGCGCGTTTTTTTCAAGTTCGAATGTTGGGGTTCGACCTTGTATTTGTGTGTCCTTTTTTTCTGTGTTGTAGACCTGATGTTCGAACTTCGATACAAGGGAAGTCGAATTCATTCGACATAAGTTCGTTTCGCAAATTCGCGCTAAAAACATAAACTTTTACAAATTTCGAGAACCACACACGCCCTAAATCCTAAAGAGAGTGAGGCAACAAAGACGAAAGATGCTGCGCGAAACCAAGAAAACACGATTCACAATATTCGCTAAAGTTTTGAGACTGCGAAGATGGAAAGAAACGAGCTCTGGTCAGTATGTGACATTGTTCCTTTTGCCAAATCTGAAACGCAGTTGGCTAGCTCGCAACAAGAACCGAAAGAGATGTGTATCAAGGTCCGCAATTGTAAGACGGGTGTTTCGTGTTTCCAGAGCTTGCACCATGTTTATCTAGTATCATTTATTTCTTGCTCATTTATAAAATTTCAAAAATTATGCCAACCTTTTTTTCTTTCTCATTCCTTATGGGTTTTCTTCATTGGTAGCTGAAGTCAGTGAAAGATAACACACAGAGTGTCAGAATCCCAGTCACTAACCACTGGGATAAAAGGGCTTGTTTGTGTAGCGGGTGAGTGCGCCCATAACCCCCCAGGCCAACGTGCCTATAACCCTTCCCTAGGATCATCGAGGATCGCCAGTGGACCTCTGACACCCCCCCGCACTGGGATGCCCGAGGTGCACACACCGGGATTCGAACCCGAGACCTTCGCTCTGATACCATGTCAGAATCCCAGTCACTAACCACTGGGATAAAAGGGCTTGTTTGTGTAGCGGGTGAGTGCGCCCATAACCCCCCAGGCCAACGTGCCTGTAACCCTTCCCTAGGATCATCGGGGATCACCAGTGGACCTCTGACACAGAAAACCTGAAGAAGCTTTTAGGTAATAATTAAACTGTTTATTTGAGAATTTACGCATGCCATATTGTATCGAACCCATTTTTCTGCCAATCGTCCACGTTTTTTACGTCATTCCCATTTCACAACCTTTTTTGTGATCCTCACATTTTCTCATATCCAAATAGATCTGAGAGGAAAGATTCGCGTGATGGTGCATTGGCGTCCTTTGAACACCAATGAGGAGAGAACAAAGGAGAGGATAGTGTTGTCAAGTCCTGATCAGTACGTCTTCACACCGACCGTGGGGTGAGTTTTTTTTCCGGCGTTCTCGCTGGATTTTGTCGTGAGCGGGCATCCGTCAGTCCTGGACGCTTCCAGAGTCCTTACAGCAGAATGGGGTTGCTGAGCGCCGCATAGGCTTGGTCATGGAGATCGCCCGCACCTCCATGACTCACGCCCGTGCCCCCCATTTTCTGTGGCCTTACGCGGTTCGGTACGCCGCGCACCAGCTGAACCTCTGGCCACGTGTCTCTCGGCCAGAGGTTTCACCGACCAGTCTTTGGACCGGGTCCCCTGGTGTTGCGTCGCGTTTTCGTGTCTGGGGTTGCTTGGCACTTGTTTGCAACACAGTCCCCTGGTTGCACGCGTACAAGATCTCGCCTCGCGCCGTTCCCTGTGTCTTCCTTGGTTTCCCAGAGGACTCCTCTGACTTCACCTTTTACCACCCTCCCCTTCACCGGTTCTTTGACCCCGGTGACGTCCGTTTCGACGAGTCTGTCCCCTACTACGTCAGGTACCCCTGTCGAGGTTCCCCAGTTCCTCCTTTTCCTCCCTCTCTTCCTAACTTCCTCTCCCCCTCCTACTCCTCCGGTACAGCCTTCCCCCCCTAGTCCATCCCCATCAAGTGTGTCCCACGCTACCCCTCCCCCCTCGGTAGCCCCTCAGGTGCAGCCTCCTTCCCCGCAGTCCTTCTTACAGCCTACTGCAGACACAGCGGGAGCCGTTGTTCGTGGTGAGGACCATGGAGGTGCTAGCTCTTGCGGAGTTGGAGTTGGAGCTGAGAGCGTACCTGTGCGAGGTCCTGGTTCTAGGGGTGCTGGAGTAGGAGTTGAGCCCGTGACTGCAGGAGACTCTAGTCTTCATGGAGCTGCTGCTAGTCGAGCTAACCCTGGGGGTGCTTGGACTGGGGGTGCGCCCTCTGCTGAACCTAGGGTGCCTGGGACTGACCCTGTTACTTCTGGTGGTGCTGGCTCTGGGGGTGGTGCGGCTGGTGCCTTGGAGGGTAGTCCTGGGGCTGCCCCTGCCCCGGACACTACTTCCCGACCGCACCCCTACCCGACCCGGCACCAGGCCCGTCTTCGCCGTGCACGTGAGGAGCAGCTGGAGTTGGAGAGAGAGAGACTGGAGTTGAAGCTGCAGCTGCTAGAGCTATGGCAGCTGGAGAAGCAGCAGCATTGCCAGCAGCAGCAGTCGCAGCCAAAGCAGCAGTAGCAGTAGTAGCAGCAGCAGCAGCAGCAGCAGACGGAGGAGGAGCAGCAGCAGCAGCAGCAGCAGCAGCAGCAGCAGCAGCAGCAGCAGCAGCAGCAGCAGCAGCAGCAGCCGCAGCCGGAGGAGCAGCCGCAGCAGCAGCAGCAGCAGCAGCAGCAGTTGGAGGTGCAGCAGCCGCAGCAGAAGCAGCAGCAGCCACAGCAACAGCAGCAGTAGCAGCTGCCGCCGCCTCCTCCTCCTGTCTCTGGTCTTCGGGCCCTCGGTCTCCCCTCTCCCTCTGCTCCCTCCCCTCCCTCTCCTCCCATCTCTGGTCCTCCGCTTCCTCCTCCAGACCCTTCCTAGGCTGTTTTCCCTCGTTCTCAGCCTCCGTTGTCCCCTCCTCTTTCTCACACTTGGCCTTCTCGTCGCTCTCCTCGTGCTCGTCCCTCATCTCCTGTTCCCATCACAGACCTTCGTACTTCCCTGTTTTGTTCTAGTCCACCTCATTCATCTCCGTCTAAACTTCCTTCCCCTCCTTAGACCGCCCTTACTGCTTCCCTCTCTACTCGTGTCACAGACTACTACCACACGTACCGACCTGTTCTCTCGCGTGTTCTCGCCTCTCTTGTTACACACCCACGTGCCTCTCTCTCCTCTGTCTCCGCCCTTACTACCGCAGCCATTGAGTTTGCCCTCATCTCTGTGCCATGCTGCTCGCCCCTGAGGTAGATCCCGACGCCCTTGACATACCGACTCCTCGCACTTACACTGAGGCAGTGTCAGGGCCTTGGGCCTCTTAGTGGAGAGCTGCCATGGACACAGAGATGGCCTCCTATAGATCCACAGGCACCTACGTCGATGAGGTTCCTCCCCCTGGGGCAAACATAGTCGATGGCATGTGGATTTTTAGGGTGAAGCGACTACCGGGATCTCCTCCGGTCTTCAAGGCGTGCTATATGGCTAGAGGTCCAGTCAGCACGAGGGAGTCGAGAGGGCCTAGGAGTTGGCGGAGGACAACAGGATCGATAAAACAGGGAAATAAAATGGCCATGTGATTCGCTTGCTGAGCCTTCAGGCCGGGGACTGGCTCCACGTAGTCCCCACAAGAGCAAATTATACATTTTCATGCGGGCTCCGTCTGGGCCCCACGCTACCAGTCACGGAGAAGTGCTCGTGTGGGAGTAGGCGTTCGGTCATGTCAAACAGAATCTTGCCCAACCATTGCTCATGTGTGTGGATGGAGGAGACTTCTGTGTTGCCGCCTCAACCACGCTCGCTTGCTCCAACTACGAGAGCCACGGGTTACATGACACATTGGGCTGCTGCCGGGGCGTGTGCTGATTGGGATCAACAAGAGCGGGGTAAGTTGCCCCATTCTGCCTTGATGTGCTGATTTGATTTCTGGTTGACATGTTTTCCTCGCTGTTAGGCTGTTCGGCATATGTAAGGCACTGTGAGGTCCCCACATGGTTGCTGCCAAGGAGAAAACTAATTGGCTTCAACACGAAAGCGGTAAGTGTTTTTTTCACTGCGTCTCACACGAGTAGAGGCAGGCCTTTGAACCATCTTGATGAGGCTTGAGTCATCTTTGACCGTGTAACCACCCTTGGTTAATTGCCAGGGTCGGGAAGCACACAGCATGTTTTAACAGCATTGTTGCCTAGAGTACTTGCACTCATTCAACTGGAGATACTATCTGGCTCCGGATGGAAGAAGTGCACCTGTGGAAGTTGTTGTGTGATGCCATCATTTGCATTCACGTCTGTCTACCTCCCATCATATGTTCGTGTGTTGCATGCGTGGTATGAGCGTGTGCAAGAATTTGTGTTTGGTGTATTTTGGAATATATGAGTGTGTGTGAATGATATTTTGCTTGAGCAGATATCTGAAATGACTTCCCTGTTTGAGATCTTTCCAATGAACCAAGAATTGTCGCGATCAGAGCACAGACGAGAAAGTTACGAACGTTCGAAGTTCGTATGCCTTTCGCATTTGATTACGGCGACTTTGGAAATTTGCGACATGACTCAATACGGGGTATAGACTTTTGGGGGTTGGGAAATTTTGTCACTTCTACTGTAGATGATGCCAAGTGGTTGGGAGAAGCCAAACCAAGTTGGCAAGTGTGGCCAAGTTGGGTGAGGTGGATGGCATGGGTTGGAAAGTGACAAAGGTCAAAGTTGGGGTGCCTATAGAGAGGGGAATTGTGAGCATATGGGGTTTCCTTGGTTTGGGTCTCCTTGGGGACCTTCTCTCTCGTCCTTGTCTTCTCCATTACCTGGTTTTTAGCTACTCTAATCCTCTTTGTGGTTTATGTGATGAGTTAAGTTTCTATGGCAACATACCCCCTAGTGCGCCGAAATTGATAACTCAAGTTATACTCCATTGTTTATGCGATTCAAATTGGAAAAGATAGCCACGGTCAAGGGCTACAACATAATTGAGTTTGAGAACATTCCAGCGGTTAGTTTTGTGTCGACGTCGTTTCTTGGGAAGTCGACATTTCTGTCCAGAAATATGGTCCAACGATTTTGAGATATTTCGGCCCCTAATCTTCATAGACTCCGTCCTTAATCTCTAACACAAGGAGGGTGTGTGTGTGGATCTGCGTGTGTGTCTGTGTTTGCGACATCATGCAGTCTGGTTTATGGTTAAACTCGAAGACCTTCATGGAATTTTTGCCCCCTGCTCCCTGCCCCATTCTTCCCCCCCCCCCCCCCCCCCCCCCACACACACATAATCCCTTGATAGCTGCATTTCTTCAGGCCAGTCCCAAAGTAATGCCTGCACTCATCTGAGCTGCACGACATCATGCAGTATGGCAGCAGCCCTACAATGGTGTTCTTCAAGATGCGCGTGGTGGGCTCGTTGCATGTCTTCCTGTTCGAGACCTCCCAGGACAAGGAGAACTGCCTCGCCATCCAGATGCATATCAACGACGCCTTGTCTCACCGTGTCGCCAGGCAACAAGCGCGGCAACACAACGCGCCAATGCGTGGGTTGGGACCTGCTGGGGATGGGGCGGCTGGGGATGGGGGTTTGGCGGGGGGAGGGGGAGGAGGAGGGGGGGGAGGAGGAGGGGTGTTGTGGGAGGGGCAGAGGCAGGGGCGACACCCGATTAAGGAGTATGAGCACCGGACAAATGAGCTTTCGGAGAGCGTGACAAGGGCGTTGATGCGCATTGAGCAGGTGGGTGGACTGTTTAGTAGCCAGATCTGAACAATGAGCAGGTGACTAATAGAGAGATTGTTGAAACATTGAACAGGTAGGAGCATTGAATTGGTGGAGAGGGCGTTCAACGGCTTTCATCCCCTCTCAGCATTTCCCCCTCCCGACTGTCGCTCTTTGCACCTGCCTGTCCTGTGCCCACTGCAGAACCTAGTTCACGAGACAAGAAAAAAGAAATGTTTTTTTTTGCGCCCCAACGCACAGTCCCTCCTCCTCCTCCTCCTCTAATTTGTGTGTTAAAATGTCTGCCCGCACCGACCCCTTCGTCTGCCAGTCGAACCAAGGAGTGGCAATGCGGACGGCTTTTGGATTGATAAAAGTCTTTTCCTTGTATTGTGGTACCCCTGCCATCCCCATTGCCCGTTAGTTGAATAGAGAAGTGGCAGCAGGGCCAGCAGTAGAGGCGAAGCTGCAAAGCGAGCTGCAGGCGGTGACGGATTTTGAGACGTATCAAAAGTATTTTTCTCCCCCGAGTCATTGTTTACCTGTTCCCGTCATCCTCTTTCCCCCTTCAGTTGAACCAAGAAGTGGCAGCGAAGGCAGCAGCAGATGCGAAGCTGTAGAGCGAGCTACTGGAAGTGAAAAAGCTGCTGAGGAAGGGAGAGGTGGTAAACGAGGAGGTGGTGGAGGAGTGGGATTGGCTGGCCAAGATGCTGCAGGTGAGCGGGGTAGTGAAATTTGGGATGGTGGATGTTCTGTGCGCTCTACATAGGTGTGAAGGAGGCTATAAGCTAGGGGGGGTTGGCAAATAGAGGAGGTGGAGGAGTGAGATGGACTAGCTAAGATGCTACATGTGAGCGGAGCAGAAGAGATGGATGGAAATCTGGGATGGAGGATATTCAAGGCACTTTAGAAAGGTCCATGCGTGAAGGAGGCGTTGAAGTAGGGGGAGGTGGCGATTGAGGGAGGTGGTAGATGAGCGGGACCAGCTGGCGAAGATTCTACAGGTAAGTAGGGCAGGGAAAGGTGGAGACGCATAGGCTAATTTTGGGAGCTCAAAAACCAATTCCAGGTGGTGCTGAAGGCACGGGATGTGGGATGCATTCATGGGATGCACTAAGTGCGTGGGATGTATGCACTGCATTCAAGGTTCGCGTTTCAGTAGCACTACTACTTCGTTGCTCCCTTCAGCTTGAGGAGGAAAGGCCGTAATTTAGCTATACTTAATGCTCATCTTAAGCTCATATTGCTCCTTTGCACTCCTCAATCCCCCCTTTCTTTCCCATCATTACTCTCGCCTCCCTTCTTCACACGCGCAGATGGCAAACAGCAGGGCAAGGAAGCAGCAGTGTCATGTGGGTACCTCACTCCTTGAAACGTCTTGAGGAGAGACAATGTCTGTGCTTGTACCTGAATCGTCAACTTTCCTCCGCCCCTCTCTCACTACACTCCCCCTCCACATCGTCGCACACACAGCGAACCAGCCGGGTAGGGAAGCAGCGCTGTCATCTGGTTTCTTCACGCCTGGAAGTGTGAGGCGGAGTGACGGGCTTGGCAACATCGGTAGCATCATGAGTCTGTCGAATGATTCCAGTACACAAGCATTGGAGTCACAATTGAGTGTGACTTAGGTTAGGTCCAAGAGCTACAGCGAGCAAAGGAGCAGACACAGATATGCAGTGCCGCAAAGCCCCTCTCCTCTTACATGAGTCTTGGTCACCTGAATTCTCCTGCTTCTCTTTGACGGAAACTATGTTATCTAGCTGAAGAGGTGCAGTTGGGCCAAAGGGCAGGGCGGACAGGAAAAGCGGAAAAGCATGCAAGATACAAAGGCACATATCTTTCATTTCTAAAATCTTTGTTTCGTTTGTCTTGCATGTTGTGTGTAGGGTGGTTGCCAGCTGAAGGAGGTGCAGGAGGAGTTGAAGGTAGTGGTCAGGCGGGCAGAGGCACAAGCGACTGCGAAGGACAAGCAGGTGTTGGAGCAGCAACTGTCAAACCTTGAGCTTACAAAGGACAATTAGGTGATGCTTCTGCATTCTGGGCTTCTCAATGCCACCCTGAATGCCTCCTTGCTCGTCTTCTCCTTCCCCTTTATTCTTTCTCATCTCAATTGCACAACAACTTCTTAAGTCTCTCAGTGATCCTCTCTTTACCCGTCCCCCACCTCCTTTTTCTTCCCTCGTGCCTGCCTCTTTCCGTCCTCCCTCCAACTGAACCTCAATGCTTTTCTCACCGCCAGATCAAGACCTTAGAGCTGCATCATTTCGCAGGCGTCTCGAGAGTAATAATGCCCCCCTCCTCCCTCATCCTCCGCCCCTGTCACTCCTCTTCCGGCCGGCAGATCAAGGCG